GGCTTTCGAATGGTGTATGAATTATTTGTGTTGTTATTACAAGTGTTGCTGTGACCCCCTAGGAAAAGGTTATGCCCCGCCCTGTAGATAGTTGACATTAATAAATGAACTTTGATTAAGACTATTTATGAAATAGCTTTGGGAAGTATGTTTTGGTCCCTTCACACCATTTTTATGACTCAGTTTACTAATGCAACTTCTTCTGCTTGTTCCCCTTGTTTATCTATAAGAATGAGCATGCCTTTTCTCTTACAGTAACCTAACCAAATTTGCTTATGAAAATTTTATCAGTGATATTACATGTCATATTTAATATGATAGTGTACAGCTTGCACTTTTACAGTAAGTGTTCCAAGTTAATCTGCTTTTTTTAAAAAAACGTGTTTGTACATTATAGCTGGCAGCCAGTTATTGATTACATTGACAGTAAATTTGAAGACTATCTCAATGCAGAATCACGTGTGAACAGACGACAGATGCCAGACAACAGGGTCCAGTGTTGCTTATATTTCATTGCTCCTTCAGGACATGGGTTAGTATTAAAGAGTAATGCTTTTGCTCCTACTTTACAATTTCTCCAGTCAGAAGCATTTAAAATACACTGTTAGATATGTCTGATCATAGGAATTGTAAGGAATTAAATTCTAATTTAAATAATTTTCCTTCTCTAATATTAGCAAAAGTGTTTTGTACAAAATCCAGAAGAGCAAGATTGGGATTGTATACTATTAATGGCTTTGCTCTCTGGATTTGTTCTGATTGAGTAGAGAGTAGAGTTTTGCATGTTTTGTTTACAGTATCACAATAAAGAATGATAAATATTTATTCTTGGCTATATCTAAATTAAATACTTTGAAAAGCAAGTTGTAAAAGCAAGTATACTGTATTTCAGAGTTTTAGATATTTCAACATCCTAATGCTTGATCTTATAAATATATAATTGCAAGATAATTTTTAATTGTTCTGATTGCTACATACAGGTAGTTCCCAATTTATAACTGTAATTTAGGCCACAATTTTGGTTGTACGTTGTGATGGTGGGAAAGTGGGTCACCATGTGGCCATGCCCAATTTTACCTTTTTTTACAGCAGTTGTTAAACGAACACATTCTTTGCTATGGGGCAGGTTTTGCCAGAAACTGGAAGTACGTAAATGCCGGTTTCTGGCAAAAATGTTGTAAGTCATGGTTACATGACCATGGAGCACTCCAACTAGCCATGAATGCAGACTGGCTGCTGAGCACCCAAATGCACTCACTTCACCCAGGTGGGGAGCAGATATCAGTACTTCAAAACTGGGTTGTATGTCCCTTTTTCAGTATCTGTCATAAGTTTGGTCACCAAGCAACCAGTCATAACTCAAGGACTGCCTGTATTATACAGAACAAGAATTTGTGATACCAGTAAGTTCTTATATAGCTCTTTGTTTTTGAAATCAGTATTAAATATTGTCCTAAGTTTTAGGCCCACTACTCTTCAACATCTTCATCAATGATCTGGATGANCAGGAGGGGCACGGGTCCAGTAAACAGGTGGAGGCACTCATCGCTCCCATGGCCTTGTCCACTTCCTCAGAGGTGACAAATTCAAACTCATCCCATGGACTCTGATTTACTTTTTTGGATGCTATTTGGAACCCTGACAGTTGGGTCTCACCCTGGAGTTTGTGTCCAACCCCCCGAGACTTTTCATTCAGTGCCCAACTTCCCTTCCAAAAAAGACTTATGGAGGCCAAGATTCAACATCTCTTAAACATCAGGGCAATCGAGCCAGTTCCTCCAAAGCAGGAAAGCTTAGGGTTTTACTCTATCCTGTTCCTGGTCTCAAAGAGTTTGGGGTGGGGTGGGGTGGAGAGCTATCCTGGATTTGAAAAGTCTCAATGTTCACATAGTGTACAAACGCTTCAAGATGCAATCCCTTCAATCCATCTTGGGTTGCATACAAGAGGGAGATCTGCTGACATCCATCAATCTCAAGGAAGCGTACCTCCATGTGCCCATCTGTCTATCACACAGGAAGTTCCTGAGGTTCTGTTACACAGGATGCCACTTCCAATACAGGGCCCTTCCCTTCGGCCTCTCTTCAGCTCCGAAGACCTTCACCAAACTTCCATCGGTGCTCGCGGCAGACCTACGTTCCTGACCAGTGTGGATACAGTTCTACCTGGACGACATCCTCATCCAGTTGTTGTCCCACTGGCAAGCACTGCGGCACCTACGGATCACACTCCAGTCCCTGCAGAGGCACGGCTTTTCCGTGAACTGGGAAAAGAGCACTTTATTTCCATCGACCAATCTGTTACATCTAGGAGCCATCATCGACACCATTGCATGCAAGTTCTTCCTCTCTCCCAAACATCGCTCCAGCATACGGTCGATGGTGAACCAGATCTGGACACTGAGGTCAGTGCTGTTAGTTCTGCTTTCCCAACTACTAGGGAAAATGATTTTGTGCATTGCGATTGTCTCCTGGGCATGGTTGCATGCCAGGACATTGCAATGGTTCCTGCTCCCACATCAGCGAGCCGGCAGGAACAGCTCCAACTCCCCAGTTCGGGTTCCACCAAGGGTCCTACACTCTCTCTTTTAGTGGACATCTATGGCTCTGGAGAGGGGCAGTCTCTTCAAGGAGCCCCAGTGCGTGACCATCACATCAGACGCCAGCCTCTTTGGCTGGGGCGCCCACAGCCAATTGCGCATGACTCAGGGCAGGTGGTCCCAGGAGGACCTGGAGAACAATATCAATTGGCTGGAGCTCAGGGCTGCCCATCTGGCCCTCCAGCGATTCCAGCCCAGGATTGCAGGACACTATGTATTCTTATTGACAGACAATGTGGCTGCAAAGACACACGTGAACCGTCAAGGAAGCACCCGTTCCAGAGCTCTCATGCGTGAAGCAGAGTAGCTGGGGATTTGGATGGAGCACAACCTCCTTTCAATACGGGCAGAACACATATCCAGCATAGCCAATATCCAAGCGGACTGGCTGAGCAGATCGACCATAGATCAGTCTGAATGGTGACTTCATCCAGATGGTGAGTTCTCTAGGATGGTCATCCAGACTATTCAGGTATCCAGACGCCAATCAACCAATCAGATTTACAACGCGACCTGGGTCGCCTTCTGTAGGTGGTGCACCAGAAGTCACATGGACCCTTTATCAGTGTCAATACCGCAACTCCTGGACTTCCTTCAAGATGACCTAGACGGGTGTCTGGCACCCAACACTCTCAGTCGACAGGCTTCCGCCCTGTCCACGATTCTGACCGGTGAGGACAAGCATCCCATCTCACATCATCTGAGGCTACGCAGCTTCCTGAAGGGTGCAGCGAACTTGAGACCTCCTGTAGTTCATCGTTATCCCACTTGGGATCTTTCCATTGTCCTATAGGCCCTCACATCGGCTCTGGTTGAACTCCTGCATTCTGTCAGTCTTCGACTACTTACCCTTAAGGTGGCCTTTCTCATGGCAGTGACCTCAGCCAGAAGGATTTCGGAGCTGGGGGCCCTGTCAGTTCAAAATGACCTGTGCATCTTTAGACCCAGTACAGTCACTCTACGTCTCGACTCGTCGTTCATCCCGAAGGTGAACTCATGGTTTCACAGGGCTCAAGAGATTGTATTGCTAGACTTTTGCCCAAATCCTACCCACCATCTAGAAAAGTGTTGGCATATCTTAGATGTTCAGAGGGTTCGCCATCATTATATCAAGAGGACAGCGTCTTTCCAAAAGATGGAGTCGCTTTTCATTTCATTCCAGCTGGCATTCATGGGTCAACGGATGACTCCTTCAACTATCGGGCGCTGGCTGAGGGCTTGCATTGCGATGGCGTACGAGCATCAAACTCGTACCGTTCCGAGACATATTACAGCTCATTCGACTCACAGTGTGGCTACATCAGCGGCTTGGGCCACTCAAGCCTCGGTTGAAGAAATTTGTAGGGCCTTGCCATTGCCGTTCATCAGGAACTACAAGCTGGATGTTTTTGCCTTGGCAGAAGCTTCCTTTGGTCGGCGAGTACTTCAGAGGGTTCATTCATCGCAATGGTCCCTGGACCAATCATCTTCCTGCCCTTGAGACTCTAAGCTTGGGTATATCCCATGCTTGGATTCTCCAAGCAGTGCACAGGAGAAAGACCGTTGGTCCTACCTGAATGGTTGTTCTCTGTGTGCTGCGGGAGAATCCAACCCACCGCACTCATTTCCTGTGGTGCCTCTGTCGTGATTCCCCAATACCTGCAGGAACAATCCCCTTGAGCCAAGACTCCCCAGGTATCCGGTGGCCACCACGTCTTCTTCTGCCCTTCATGGCGTCGACACCCCGTCCAGGGTCCTCCACCCTCTGCAAGGCCGACCCACCAGCCCCCATACTGTCGGAGGTTGACGGCAGCTGTAACAGCTTCGGCCGAGCCCTAACACCCTGTCCAGGGTCCTCCACCCTCTCCATGGCTGACCCACCAGCCCCCATACTGTCAGAGTCTGGCGGCCGCTCCAACAGCTCCAGCCGAGCCCTAACACCCTGTCCAGGGTCCTCCACCTCCTCCAAGGCCAACCCACATGACCCCTCGCCGTCGGAGTTCTGCGGCAGCTCCACCGACTCCTGCCGAGCCACCACACAATCCCCTCCCGCAGAGCCCTTCCCCCGGTTTCGACGATTGGGGTGCGGCCCAGAAGGGTTGGTGACGGCCTCCACGGAACACAGTCCAAGATACTGGTACCCCGCCGGGAACCTAGAAACAAAGTCCAGTGCTGCGGGGACCAGAGTCGACAAAGGCTGGAATCTTGACGGAGTTCTCCTTGCAGACCTGGCCCATTGGCACTGGGCACATGACTCCACGCACCTCCGCATGTCGTTCTTCAGATGGGGCCACCAAAATTGACGGGAGGCCAGGTGCAACGTCTGAAGAAAACCCCAATGTCTTGATGCAGACGCGCAATGAACC